AAGGTTCCGTTCTCTTCTTTTGCTTAGGCTAAATGCGCCATAGATGTGGCGGGCTTTACGACAAATATAAACTATGTTCATTTTAAAGCAGCGTAGACGATAAAGAAAAGAAAATACGGTAGGAAATCATATCATATGAAAAATGAGTTGGGTGACACTAGGGTTAAGTTCTAACATTCACTTCTTTTTTCACTGAACTTCAGCGATCACACAACTATCCGTAAACTGCCATCAATTGAGAGAGGGAAACCAAGGAGAATCGGCCAAATCAAGCGCGCTTCAATAGCAGATAACCTTTACTGTTATGAATTCACTGTGGGAATCACGGTAATTGGGCTCTCGTTGATGAAAATGTCTGAAACTTTCCCGTGTAGTGCGCATGTTAGCAGACCATGATTCAAAACTGCTTCCTGCCCCTTGAACTTTGAACGAAGAGTAGGTTGCAAAACCCCATTTGTAGCTATACGATGTTATAAATCTAGCTGCTTTTTCCGCATTACCGCGTTTTTTAACTCCCAGATCTTTTTGTACTCATGCACGAAAGCGTGAAACATTTGCAAAACCTAGGACCTTTCGTCCTGTTCACAGAAAGAGATCAATGTGGTCAATCTGCTTTCCCAAACCTGTAAAATTTTGCTCTTCCTTTTTTGCTCAGCCTAAAAGCGCCACAGAAGTGCGCCATGAAGATCCCCGACTTGTGCATCCACGAGATGAGCGCGAACTGCGCGTAAAAGCGATTGCCGCGCGCGTTTTCCATTTGTGACTTATCGGCTGTAGCATAGCATGCTTCAAATAAAGATACAGAAAACTTCCAGAAAAAAAGGAGACTCGCGCTTTGGCATAAAAATTTTGGAAAAAAGGTGTTTAGTTGGACTGGATTTGCTTGCGGAGAACTTCGAACGGTGCTATCCATGTGTCCGCGGCCCAAAAATTCAAAGTCGTGAATTTGGCTGAAATTCGGTCGAGGAATCACAAATATTACGTTCTTTTTTCATAAAAAAGCCATTTGGTGGGGCAACGGTGGGTATACGTAGAAGAGTCAATTCAGTTTTGGCTGAAATTTGGTCTAGGAGGTTTTCTGAAGGGCTGATCACGAATACCACTCTACCATTCTCTGCATTCTGCGGCGCGCTTGGTCTTCAAGAATCCTTCGAACCAATGTACGCCGGGCCCTGTCTAGGATTTGGCACGGAAAATTTGAGGGGAACGTTGTGAGCATACTGACTAAAAGTACATTGAAGGGGGAGGAAGATATTGTGGCTTTCTTCAGTAAGCTTTTGAGAAAAGGGGGTTTTGCAGACGGGAGAGTTCCTCGAATAACGAAGAAACAGTGGGCAACTTCACGGTGAGTTTCAGAGTCAAACACTCAGTGCAGTTTGGCTAAGAAATTGGGAACTGATATTTTAAGGCCAGAGTGATGAGGAAATTAGGCTCTTCTAATGGGAGACGGTCTTTTCGCACGGTCGGTCTCCAGCGCTATCCTGATTGATTGTCGTAACACGTCACGCACGTCGCAAATCTTTCTTCCTCCTGCTTAGGCAAAAGCCGCCGCAGGGTGTTCCGCGCGCGGCAGTGGTTGGAAAGCAGTAAGGATGCGAATCGTCCTCACCCTCCTCTGATGCTTTGACGGAAAAAGCTGCTAACGCTTTGAGAAAATTTCACACCGAAAAGAACATACAATACATCAGCTAAGGAAAGCCACAGAAAAGGAAACTACGGGAAGGATGCTGTACGAAAAGATACAACACTACTCGTTTATATAATGCGAGGGTGAGTCTAGAGAAAAAGCGCGATGTGTAAGGTGTGCATTTCTATTTTGGAAAATGAGCTTCACTGAACGCGACATCTTAACTGACTCCAAGGTTCTTCTGCAAGCAGTCGTACTTTCGTCATCAGAACTATATGCGCAGCATGCCTTCCCAGCAGAAGCTTTCAATCAAAACATCACTAGACGAAGTTTATTAGCTTTTACGGCATTGAAAAATTGTTTTACGAGGCTTCGGTGACTCAATATAATATTTCTCACACCAGCTAGCCATTGGGCTGCTAGTCCCTTATAAATCTCGTTTGCACCGATTTCGCCCCTCTCTCGCTCATATCAATCAGCTGTTCTTTCAGTTCAAAGTCTCTCACGCAATGTATCGATCCCTCTTACAGGCAGCCATTTACCAGCGTGTTCCTCCTATTGCTGGTGCTGCGGCAATGGCTGACCGAATGGTCGAATGGTTAACGTGACGGCACTTCAATTTAACGCACATAGGTTCGAACGCGCGCGAGGTAGGAATTTTGCTGCTGTCTGCGTCATCGAAATCTAATGTGCGAAATGATTGCGTGCTAAGGTTACATAAGATTATTAAAACCTACAATCACTCCGCGAGCTGCCGCCGAAGATTGCAACTTCCCCGCGATGTCTGCCTACTTGCCGGCATCTTTGATGCCACCAGGTAGGGTAGATTACTACCGGCCCAGGTAAATTGTGAAATTCCGCTTGCTTAGTGTTGACGGCAAAGACTCATAAGTTTTTTCGAGACGCCAGAGCTAATTAGTCTTGAATTCCCTTTTCTTCTTCCTTCAGTTTAGTTAGTGAGAACCAACCTCTAAGATACATTGCCGACATTTTCAAACTGTGCTTGGTCCGATACTGCACGAATCTTCATCTTCAAAATTTTATTTCATATTTGGAAGGAATGAATCTTTAATTCCATCAGTTTCCAAAAAATGCCTAGTTTTTTATGTTTACCCTAATTTCACGCGTACAAGGCGCGGGGGATTTTTTTCCGAAATCGACCAGCCCATTCGCCAAAAAACTTCGCAACCAAAGCACCCTATGCCTTGCTGTATATTGCTTAAGAGAATCGTACGGCATAAGGATCGCTTTCCGAAATGATTTGAAGCGGCTGAGGGGCTTAGTCGAAAAATCGAAAAGGTGCGCCCTGTACGCGTGAAATTAGGGTACCTATCAAACAAAAATCAAATTGATTACGCGGAAAGGTAGGCCGTACCGTAACGGGCATGCAGTAAACGCACTCTGCTTCATAGTCGAAGAGGCGGAGGGGGGGGGCAGCCGGTTAACAATAACTTTTATCCTCCCAGATTACTTTAGTGCCAATTTATCGTCCCGGAAAAAAAGAGCTTTGTTGCCCCGGGAACGGGATCAAACCTAATCATAGCGGCTCCTCACCTACGTCATTCGCCCCGACTTAATAGTATAGAAATAATAATCGCGGTGTGTGTCCCGGCCAGCTTCCCATAGTACCTCCGCGACGCACAGCAGCGCGCTTGGCTCTATGCTCCTCATCTCGCTTGTTATCAGTAAAGCAAAACTACGTTCACATAGGAGCGAAATGAGAAGTGGAAATCTTAAGCCTACCTCCACAAAAGCATATGGTAGAAAAAGATATAAAACATAGTAGTACCCAGTTTCAAGACGCAATGGATGCATATTTCAAACCCTCGCTGGTGGATGAATGGCCATAAATGGGAGCGGAGAAAGGACGAGCATCATGTTCAAGACCCTTGTCTTCTGTGCGAAAATTCAAATACGTGCACGTTTGGACAGAGAAATTCTACTGACATAAACTATAAGCATCTGTACTCTACGAAAAAAATTCGAGACACACGCTTTTTTGTGAAGCAGTCCATTCAAGAAAGAGAATAAGAAGCATTCAAATAGAAGTCCTCAGGACTATTGAGGCACGTAGGAACATATCACCCGCTGAATAGCTAACACCTGAAATGAGAGATTATAGGGCAACAAAGTCAAAAAGAGAGAAAAGCAAGAAAATTATATCAGAAGCTGAAACAAGAGGAACAGAAAACGCGCGTTGCCTGTGCCTCGCATGGCTACTAAGGGAAGCTGGCCGGGGACCACGCTATATGAAAGTCACTCATTCTGTGACGGCTGAGTCAGAGAGATATCAAAGGCATGTTTTGCCTCCCAAAAATGTTTTTAGGAGCTTGAGTATTCTCAGTGTCAAAGAGGCTGTAAAGTGCTAGGCATACTTCACGCGATCTCAGTTGCGACGCGATTTGGCAGTTCGCTAGAAGTCTTCAGAGCCAACACTAGTAAACTGCACATGCATAGTGTGTATAACTTATATGGACTGATAAAATGCCCTCTTTTCTGTACATTCAAAATGTGCTTACAATGGATCATGGACAGTTGGAAAATTGCCAAATCGCGTGAAGTATGCAAGGCCTTTAAGATAACGAAAACCGATTGAGGCGGAAGAAGAGTTGCACACAATGAGCATAAAGTTGCGAGAAACGTAAACGGAAAGAGATGCGTTCTGTTGAGCTGAGTTAGACTATGCCTGAAGTTGGAAGACGTTGATTTTGCGGAAAAAATGCAGCCTCTACGAAAACCAGTCGTTATGCTGGTAACTTCGCTAACAATAAAAGCAAAAGCATAGAATCAAGTGCATTCTTCTGCTGAAAAAGAGGGAGACACCAGAAAACCTAGGTTTCTCTTCCCTTTTGTTGGGATATAATTTAGTTTTTGGTATTATAAGTCCGACTGTCGCCTAATATCGGCGCACTGAGTTGCTTCTGGAAATGATAGCTTATTCTCCCCTCCTCTCCTTTAATCTCCTTTCCATAATTTTCAGCTTTGAGAGTTGTCTGCTCTGAAGCTTTCTTAGTTGTTAGTAAACAGAAGACTTGCTCGTTATTTGGTTTTGACAGAAATTTTCGTAGAAGTTCACGCTTTTCTTGCTCAACGGTCAAATATGGCAAATTAAGTTCCTGGTGACCTAGTATCCATCTAACGGATCTTAACCCAGCTTTTTTGGAACCTCTGTTAACTGTATGGCGATTGTGATATCCTCAGTTAGCAAATTAAATATGCTTGACCTAATTTGCACTTACGTTCGTGAGCTGTTTGCTTGTATCCGTAGATTCATCTTTATTCGAGGTGTCAATGAACTGACAGAAATTTGTTTAGATTGTTCCATGCTCTTGGGAGTTTGACGCGAGCACTTCAAGTTGAAGATAATTTGTAGCCTGAGCTTCCCTGTTATCTTCCACACAGCAAAGTCAAGTGGATTAGGATATCAGACTCCATATAGTTGTGGTAAGCAATTGTCGCCTTGGGTCCGAGGCAAAAGCCCCCTCCTTAGAGGTGTCTTTCTGCTTAACGGAACGACATTTTGCTACTCCTGATATGTCTTCGGATTTATATGAGTATTTGTCAGTGATATTGAGAGAGGCCTTTTAAAGCCTTGACCAAATCATCAATGCTTCAAAATTTGGTTATTTTTGCTTTTCAAGCTTCTTTGAAGGCAGTGCCCAAGTAATGTTTCAATTTTTAACCACTGAGCTGGATTCAAAATTCCACTGAAAAGCACAAACTGCGAAAGCAAGCTTCTCAAAAGCTCGTTATTCAGAATCAAACGTGTGAAACACTTTTGGCCACGGCTAAACTGCAGAGTCGTTGTAAGACCCTATGATCTTAAGTGTGGCAGCATGCGCGCTCTGGCGTGAATTAAGGCAGAGGCATTCCAAATTTTCAAGTTTCTTTCTCGCATCTGCTGTAGCGTAAGCTTACTTGTCTGCAAAGATGAGAGCGTCTGGTCTCCGTCTATACTTACAGGTGAACTCACTTAACTTAGGTCGGCCTTTTCAAATGGGACATATATAGTTAGAATCGGTTCGGAACGCTGATTCCAGACATGCTGTCTTTAGCTGCGAAGCGTTCCTCTGATGCGAGTATGAGCTTTTTCCTAAGCAAAGTTTGCGTGCTGACCGACTTAGGCATGCTACGGTACCGTCATCTAGGTAGTAGTTCAAATGCATACAACACCCTATCAAAGCCAAATGACTCAGTTTGATGTTATTTCGATTTCCCACCACTTTTTAATTCAGGTTTTCATCTAAGCCTTCTTTCTATATTCAGTTATATATCAATTACACATACTAAAAAGCTCATAACTCGCTTCAGAGGAACGCTTCGCAGCTAAGGACAGCATATTTGAAATCAGCGTTCCGAGCTAATTCTAAATATGTGCGTCTCATTTCAAAAGGCCGACCTAAGTTAAGTGACTTCCCTTGTTAGACACTGACTCTGATCAGGGATCATCAATTGGCGAGTACTCAAAGGTTATGCGGAATCTTGATGGTGAAGGTATTTTTTGTCAAAACATTTCCTTCTCTATGATTCAGAAAACCTTTTCCTGCGCAAACCCAAAAGTGTTTTGACGATAATCCGACTCAAAAGGGTGGGAGATTCCTGGTTCTAGAGTTCAAACTAGTATCATCATAACAAATTGTTTCGATAATGACTTGAGCACTATAGTGTTGATTGAGAAAGGCTACTCAAAGATTCCTTCACATATACATCTATTTGACTTTTTATTTGATGATTTTCTGAATTACTCAAAGTAAAACTTTCCGACTCAGAATATCGAAGCCTTCTTTCGATTTGCCTCCAGACGATCAAGTGAAGATTACAGAAGGCCACTTGAGCGCATGAAAAAAACTAAATCTCGCATCTTGAGAATGCTGATGATTTCATTGCTACCATTGGTGAGATGCAGACCTTCCTCGATTCATTCATAGCGAAAGTAGCGCTCAAAGAATTTCCGTTTCTTTTCAGCCAACCGCATGTACAGAGCGTCCAAAAGTATCTATGCCCCCTTCGATCGTTGTTATTGCTCCCGTTTCAAAGTCTTACGCCGATCTTCACCATCGCAGAGCTTTCTGAGCGGAGCACTTTGCAAACGGAAACCAAACATTCAAAAGCCACTACATTAAGCTGATCGAGTCGCTGAGTCTGTGCGTTATATCTCTTTGATGATTACGCCAAACGAGTCGCAACAACCGTTTGCTAAATGCACCCAGTGTGATTATACTAACTGGAAAGCTATATGAAACTTGAGATAAGTAAAATATAATAGTAGGTTAATATGCGTGAAAACCCTAACACTTTTTTTGTAAATTTGAAATGGCAAATTTGCAGTGGCGTGTAACCTAGAAGCCATAGATAATTCTGCGCTAACGAAAAGTAATCGCCTTAAACTGCAAGTGTAAGCTAACGCCAGCTCAGAATAGCTTGAGGATTAGCGAAAGTCATTAAGAGACAAAACGATCCATGCATAATTATAGAACACTCTTATGGGAGAGATGCTCCTTATTTCAGCTAGATTACTGCCAAAAAGTCTCTACCGTGCAATTTTTATAAACTACCACAATTAACCGTTCTCTACTGGTTCAGTTTCCCATCGTTTGGTCAAGATGTTGAAGTATTACGTCGACATAATTTGGAACTGAACAACTAATCTTTGTTCGATGCTTGCAATCGTGGATGAAAGGCGTAGCAAAAGCAAGTAAGAATTTTGCCCAGTTTGGTAGACGTTTTTCAATTTACAACTGCATTCCAGAAACTTCTAGATGTCTTTCGCACTTCGCTGTTTTATTCTTGCACTTTGCGTACTATTCGCTGTTTATATTATCATTGATAAAATGGGAGCTATGGAATCGGGCTCAAAAAGAACAATGCGTTTGAAACCGGATGCGCCGTGGTACAACACTTCTTACGATGCTGAAATTGAGTTCAAGAATTACGCAGTTTGTGAGTTTTACTTCATTTGATGAGATGCTTTGAAGATCATAATGAAATTACCGAATATCAAATTGTTGAATAGTGTTCTTACTATCAAACATTGTAAATGATACTGCTTTGCGCCGGTTATGGAAGATGGGACAAAGGGGCGACTAGTGAAATATGAAAACAGAGTTAAGACTACCACAGGGATGACAAATTGATGGTGGTCTTGAAGTTAGTGAGACTCGACATAGTGGATTTAAGCGAAGCAAAAATTGGGTTAGTAAAGCTCATTATTGCAGGAACATAAGGGGACGTTTAGCCAAGCACCTTTAAACTTCGCGGTCATAGACCCTGCGAGAATTCTGGAAAGTATCCCAAAACTTCTTTGGAACTGTTGCTTCCCATTTTCGGAAAAAATTTCTCGAAGCGCCACTGATATCTGGGTGTATCGATACGTATATCTCGCGTAGGTGAGATATTTCTGCACTAAACGTTTTCATTAAATGCAAATTCAGTGACTTTTTTCAGAAATCGGAGAGATTAGACGCTACCTTGAAACATGATGGGTCACTTTCGAACCTAATAGAACTATAACCTTTTAAGTTCCTTTAGATCAAATTTTCGGGTGAACGGGCAATAGGAGTGGTAGCGGGTGAGTGCATTAACCCATCACATCTCACATTTCTCCCAAAGCGTAGATCTAGGCCCGTATGCACGTACATCCCCGCGGGGAGGGGAGGGGATCTGAGAAAGGAAACGCCATATCTCGCTGCTCTAGATCTCCTTCTTCCTTTTTCTCTATCGTGCTTACAAAGTTTCTCATACCCTTATACCTGCGCATAATGGATGCCAGGTTACTGCTATACAAGATTAAATATTCATTATTTCCTCTGGGGATCCCCAGGGGGTCATCTCACATTTTCAAAGTAATTTATCTTCCTGAAAAATCAATGAAAGCGCTGCAAAACTGTACTGAAGATATACTACGATAATGCTGAGCAATTTTTCGACAGAAGAAATGGAATCTATAGTTTTTGATTTTTTCGATAATCCCTGGCCCGCGAGCAGCGGTTCATCGAAGATTTTGATATTTTTAGATTTCACTCATTTCTACCATAAACATGTTTAGCAGTGCTGTAGTATATCCACAGTACAATTTAAGAGCATTTTCATCTAGTTTTCAGTAAGATAAAAAGCTTTGAAAATGTGAGGTGATCCCCTGGGGATCCTCAAGGGATCGGACGAAATAGTGAATATGCAATCTTGTATGGCAATAACCTGACATCTGCTATGCACAAGTATCAGTTTATGAGAACCTTCAAAAGCAAGACAGAGAAAGAAGAAGAAAGATACATAAGCGAGATATGACGCTTCCCCTCTCAGATCCCTTCCCCTCCCCGCGGGGATGTACGTGCATACGGGCCCTAGAGCTATTTCCCATGCTCTGATAAACTGGAGAGTTGAATTATTTTGTCTGCTTAAAAATAAGACGTCAAAGTACGTTAAAAACGTCAAAGAAAAGGTTTCAAAAAGTAAAACTCCAAGCGTTACGCTTATGCATAACAAAAAAGAATAAAAGATTGAGCAAAACAACGAAAAAGACGATAAAATCCTAGGACGTTTTTCTCGCACTGCTGGCATGCCGTGCCCGACGCGCCAGCATCGCGCTACGCGCTTGAGCACGACTACTGCCGCAATTCAAAGTTTTTGAAGGGCTGGCTAAGCGTTAAGGGGGATCCTGATAATGTTCAAATACTGTTTTGTGGGATTTCGGGCGTAGATGGTAATTTTGTGAAAAGTTTGGAAAAATCATGTGAAGAGAAGGAATTATATGACATTTTTTCTGAGCTACTCTCTAGGTAGCTCAAAAGCCACCTAGTTCAGAAAAAAGTTTGTCACGGCTTCAGTTCATATGATCTTTTCATTTTCGTGCATAGTTCTTATTGCGCATCTACACACCAATTTCGATATCATAACATTTCCTCTTCGCTGTAAACAAGCCTTTCGTTTATTTCGGGCGCATTTGAATTCCCGCGCTTGCACGAAGAATGGGTAATCGTAGTTTTGTCAGAAGATCTAATGTGAAGAGCGGTTGTGGGGTGGGGGAGGGGAAATTCTTGGAAAAGATGAAGGTTTGAGCATGCATGTCATCATATGTTAGTTGTGATGTAAGTACTGTTTGACAGAGGGAGGCCTGAAAAAATTTGTTGGGTTGAAGTGCGTGAAATTAGAACTCCTCAGGGTTATTTATTGGTCAATTTGATGAAAAATCAGTAATCGTCGTTTTCCCGGGATAGGTGGGGCGTGTCGCTGCACAAGTCTGTAAGTGTCCGTAATCGGCACGGTGTTAGCTACGGCGCAGAATTAATATCGCCGAACAGTTTCTGATCAGTTTCTGACTCAACAATGATGGGTGAGTTTTTTGCAACTAATTGTGCTTTTCTTTTCAGATTACGGCGGAGTTGCTAGAAGAAAGTCGTAAATCTTTAGTTACACTTGTTTTAATAGTTCCTCAGTTGTGATGCACTGTCGGTACGAATTTTGCATTATAGCTGCACATTGTGTGCTATTACTTCTTTTTTTACTTACCAGTGGTGTTTGTTGGATTTGCTTTTACTATTCCATCGAATGACTTTACTATGCTTACCGGTACTTCATGCTAATGTTGTTTTGTTCAGTTTAATACTCGAAGGTCCCCACAATGGTCGGTTGCCTCATCGTGGCGTGGGGGTGACACTGGGTGTCGAACTGCGATGCACAGCCGAGTGTATACTCTTTTAGGGCCTCCGAAGCTGTGAAGGAGTTCGACGTTTCCGGTCTCAGCCGGATGCCTAGCTAAGAACCGGCCACGCCAGATCCCCCGCCGTCTGGCTTCTTCTGGTCGCTAGGCGGTCCCTCCCCGCTCCAAGCCCGGGGTCAGCGATCGCCCCGTGTAAATCAAGAGTAGGCCTAGTAAGCCACCTCGTGTAGGGGAAAATTCATATTACTCCTCCAGTTAGAAGATTAGAAAGAAACCCTGCACATCGTATCCCGCCTACGGCGCCGGGTGGTAGCAAGAACGATGTCAGGGTACTCAGGGCGCCTTTCGGATTGGACAAAAACGACACGTCTGCCCGGACGACACGCCATGGAGACGCCTCATGCTCTGCACCTACAACACCAGGACAGTCTCCACAAACGCCGACCTCCACGCTCTTCTCGACGCTGCAGAGCACATCAACTACCACAACATCGCGCTGCAGGAGACGAAGTGCAGGAAGAAGGGCGTGCGACCGATGAGTGATGGGACCCTCATCGTTCGTGGTGAAAAGGTTCCATCACGAAACGTGGGAGGCGTCGGCTTTGTCGTCCACCCATCTATCGTCCATCTTGTCGATTCGCACGAGATCCTATCACCTCGACTAGGCATCCTACGACTACGACCTCCACATCAGAAGACCATCAGCATCATCAACTGCTATTCTCCAACATCAGCAGCTGACGAATCAGAACTAGATGCTTTCTACGAAGATGTGGAGGAGGTCGTCCGCAACGAGAAGTCCTTTTACAAGTTTGTTGTGGGCGACTTCAACGCTAGGGAATATAGGATCGGGAAGTTTGGATATGGGCTCCGGAACGAAAACGGCAACCGTCTCGTTGGGCTTCTCTCCGCCGCACGACTCTTCCATGGAAACTCCATCTTCATGAAGAAAGAACATCACCGGTGGACTTGGGAATCTCCCAACGAAACGACTCATGCTGAGGTCGACCACATTCTCACCAACCGAAGGTGGAGCTTACTCGATATCTCTGTAGTTCCATCCTTCTGTAGTGGCTCCGATCACCGCCTCCTTCGAGCGAAGATACGACTCAGCCGAAGGCTGGAAAAGAAAGTCTCATAGTGTCGCGAGAAGGAAGGAAGTCGCTTATGACGGTAACAGGCTGGAAGAGCTCATATCAAGTTGTGACTGGCCCATCGAAGAGGACCCAACGTACGACTACGACCGGCTTCTGAAAGGATTGCGAGCCTGCGGAGAATGCGCCTCATGACTTCTGAGAAAAACTTGGAACGCATTTCGAAAACCACCAAGGAATTGCTCGAAAGAAGAAGATTTTCGAGGCAGGATCCGAATGCAACCCATCTCGAGGAACTGATAGCCAACGCCAGTTGGAGAACAGCTTTGCAAGAGGATCTCAGGAAGTACAGGCAAGCCAAGATACTGGAAGCAGCCGAAAGAAGACGAAGTCTCAAGAAGTGCCGAAGGGACCTCTGCGAATGTCACGTTCCGCTGGCTGCACTACTGAACGAAGACGGGATCCGACTTCTTCCCAATACAAGATGAAATCTATCGCGAAGAACTTTTACACCAACCTCTTCCGCTCATCAACACCCGTGCAGATGCCCGTTGTCCCCACTGGAGAAGTACCACCACGAATTCTACCTGCTGAAGTGCGTATCGCGATACAGACCATGAAGAGAAGACGTCCACGGCTCCAGGACCAGATCATCTTTCCGTCGAACTTCTGCGAGCCGGAGGACACCGTCTACACGAGATTCTAGCGTCGCATTTGACATCTTACCTTCAGAAGGAGAAGATTCCCGACCAGTGGAGAACGTCAAGAACCGTCCTTCTCTTCAAGAAGGGTGAACAGGAGGATCTTCGGAACTATCATCCGATATGCCTGCTGAGTGCGCTGTACAAGCTTTTTACGAAGATTATCCTCGCTCGCATATCAAGGACACTGGATGAAGCCCAACCCCAAGAACAAGCTGGATTTCACGAAGGATTCAGCTGCATGGACCACATCCACACCGTTTCGAGGATCATAGAAGTCTGCCGGGAGTACCGACTGCCTCTCGTCCTAACCTTCGTCGACTACGAGAAAGCCTTCGACAGCGTCGAAACCAACGCCATCCTGTCAGCGCTAGTCGATCAAGGAGGACCCAGCCTACGTGTTAACACTAGCCAACTGCTACAAGGACTGTACAACGATGCAGCTGTTCCATCGCCCCCTGACCATACCATCGGGAAGGGGGTCCGACAAGGCGACACAATCTTCGACGCTTTTCACCGCGGCCTTGCAGTGGGTGATGAAGTCACTGGACTGGGACGAGAGAGGCATACGAGTTGATGGGAGATTCCTGTCCAACCTTCGTTTTGCGGACGACATCGTTCTCTTCTCGAGCAGTATCACCGAAGCAGAGACGATGCTGAAGGAACTAAACGAAGTAGGGAAGAAGATCGGACTGCGAATAAATCGGAAGAAGACTCAGTTCATGAAGAACGCCCTCTGCGAAGATGCAGAAATGGAATTGGAAGGCACCCCGATTATGGAGACGTCTTCCTACGTGTATCTCGGACGTTCGATGAACATGGAGAACGACTTGAGGGAAGAACTCAACAGGAGAAGAAGAGCAGCCTGGGCCGCCTTCGGGCCCCTGAAGGAAGCCACCGACCAACTGACGGACCCGGAGCTTCGTGCCCACCTGTTCGACTCAACCGTTCTCCCGGCGCTCTGTTACGCAGCTGAGACTTGGGCCGACACTGGAGCCACGTCGAAAGCTCTACGGACCACCCACAGAGCGCTCGAGCGCAGTCTTCTGAAGATGACCCGACGCAAGCAACCTCTAGTCGGACTTCGCAGCACGGATATGAGAAGAATATCCCGTCTTCGTGACCCAGCGGACTACGTTGCGAAAGCGAAGCATCGATGGGCCGGTCACATAATGAGAAGAACAGACGACAGATGGACACTAAGAACATCTGAGTGGCCTCGCGAAGCCAAACGTCCTCGAGGAAGACCACCGACGAGATGGGCAGACGTGTTCGTGGAACGGATGGACCAGCTGAGAAATCGGCTGGATACGACTTTCGCCCCTGGAACTCATGGATGCAGCCACGGACGACGGCCAAGAAGACCCTGGATGTCTGAAGCGAGGGACAGGGAAAAATGGCAACTTCTGTATTGGGGTCCGCACGTCACGTGAGGACGGGCCATCTAAGTAAGTGTCTAAGTAATACTCGAAGGTGAATCGCATTGTGGAAAATTACATTTTTTCTCAATTTCAATACAAGCAAATCCAATAAACACGACTATTAAGTAAAAAAAAGAAGAAGTAATAGCCTGCAATGTACAGCTAAAATGCAAAATTCGCTCCGGCAGTGGTTCAAAAGTGAAAAACTAGCATAAAAAAGTTTAATTGAAAATTTACGACTCACTACTAGCAACTCCCGTCGAAATCTGAAAAGAAAAGCACAATCAGTTGCAAAAAAAACTGCCTATCATTGTTGAGTCGAAAAATGATCAGCTGTTCGGCGATATCGATTCTGCGCCGTAGCTAATGCCGTACCAATTACGGACACTTACAGACTTGTTCAGCGACACGTCCCATCTATCCCTGGAGACAACGATAGATGCTTTGCGTGATCAAGTTTTTTGGAAACTTTTTACCACTCCAGAGGCTCCGATTTTGCATCGGATTTTCTCATATACACAATACTAGGTTTGGCTGATACGCGTATTTTTTTCCCGCGTCTTCTCTGAAACCCTCAAAACGGAAACCCCTTTGCTTCCGACCCCATAACGATTTCCAGCTTTCCCGTAAGCCGCCTGTGCCGAACCTTGACTGGCATTACCAAATTGCACCTATCATCACCGAGCAAAACTTACTGATTTGCGCATCCCAAACATTTATGCCTACTGTACGTTGCCAGCAGCGCCGGCAAATGCCATAGTTTCTCAAATGCTCCCCAGATTTCCATCTCAAAGAAATCGTAAATTTTGGTTCCGCGAGAAAAGAATGCCACTGTTGTAAGAACCATTTCGAAAACCTATTACTCCAATTTTAGTCTTGGTTTGAAAAATGCAGCCTTGAATACTCATAGTTATGATTTTTTTCGGTAGGGTCATTGTTGAATCCGTGATCTGTCGGCACCCCTTTAGCATGTATCTTTCCTCCTGCCAAAGTAGCGTAAAGGTACATGACCTGCTGTGATATAAGTATAAGTACCTTTAATACCGAGTGCCTGTTAAGATATCTTGCTCCTTCTATTAACATCATCCATCTACCATTGCACCTATGCGTACATGAGGTCTCATTAAACCTGCTAAGCTACACTGTATACCAGCGGCTACACTGCTTTCACAACAGCGCTATCTCTCTAAACACTCCAAGCCACGGAATCATCACAGCACTCGAATCTCAACGCTGCACAAAGCAATGTGGCTTGTAGTAAACAACATTTTAACTTTGGTGAACTAAGCTTACCCCTCAGTTTACTTTCGTGGATCAAACTTAAGCCCCACCCCTCCACGCTTCAGGAATTCGTCCGGTTAAATGGGGGTAATGTGTGAAGAGCAGCCGTAAATTTAGGTTAACTGCTCGACCTATGCAGCTTACGCCCGTATCTCTATGCAAATGTGCGTATGCTTTTTGTTGCGTAAGCCTGTACGTCGGGCAATCCGCTCGACTATCAGGGTTAGTCTCAGGCTGAATTGACGAATATAGTGTGCAAGGGAAATCAGAAAATGATGAGAAGAAAATCTATGAAAATCCCGACATCTGAGGTGTTACGTAATGCCACGGGTGCTGCACGAAATCTGCACAATTTCGAGGTTTCATGGATGGGAAGGATCATTGAACGGCTGACTGCAGCAAGAATATGATTTAAGGTTCTTCCATTTTATGCAAAAATTAAACACATCTGTTTATTCAATTTTTCCAATCTTTCCGAGGGCTGCTTATAATAAAATCTATTTTACTAATTCATAAAGGATAAAGGATTTGCGCCTTCAGTCCCTCCGCGGGCATGCGCCGAACGCACAACTTTATAGTCGAAAATGCAACTCTATTCCTGCGTCCTAATTCAGTAACTTGCGGGGGCCAGCCGTTTACCAAGTCAGTGCTTTTATCCTCCCAAATTACTCTGGTACCAATTTACCAGCCCTGAAGGGTAGAGGGCTTGGTTGGCTCAGGGACGGGAATCGAACCTTTGTCCGATCTGGTCATAGCGGCGCCTAATACCACTACGTCAGTGTCCCCATCTATTTATTGTGCTAAATTATCGCGATTTTGTTTTACTTCTCCGTTTGTTAGAATCTTTGATAGTGACCATTGATATTTCAAAGATTTCAAAACCTTTTCGAACTTCAAAGATTACCTTGCGACATAGCAAAAATATAGCCTCACTTGCCTGTTTTGAACCATGGCCTTGCGCTCAAATTTTGAGCGGCCGTTTAACCAAATCTATAAAAAGCCTACGGATGTTTGTTCTTGAGACGCAATTTTATCATGCTTGCAAAACGGTGCGGGTCGATAACTTGTATAAATCTACTAAAGCGCCGCTAAGTCAAGTTGGGCCCGCTTCAGCTGACCCAGAATGGCGGTGATTTACCATGGGCCATATCAAGACTAAACTTCAGATCTAAAATTGTCTCAATTGGATCCTAAACGCCACCGAACTTAACTGTGTAGGCAACTTCAAAATCCCTACTTCCCAGTATTTAATGCGCTAGCTAGTTGGTCTCGATTTTCATTGAGGGCTGGATAAGAGATGGTGCTCGCAATGTCGTGGTATCGTTGTATGAAGTATAAATGACATTGAAACGCTTGTTGCGAGGTAGCCATTATTCATGATAATGGTTGGCCTAAGATATTATCGATATGAATTAATCATGTTGATTTTCTATTGTTACGAGCATCTGCTATGCTTTTCAGACCCGCCTGCCAACGCAATACTCACATCTTTGCAAAGACAGGCAAGGACAAATACCACGCGTGAGCTGCATCAAGCATGGGCTTTGGCTCCTTTTGGACCATTACGAGAAAATATTGTGGTAACTATTCTTTGAACATGATTGTGCAAAACTGGGCACCTTGATTTTATTTGAAACGTTGATAGAAATTAGGATGAAATGTAAATTATCCTTCCTCATGTAGTGTTCTCTGAAAGCATACAACGCCACGCTGCCAGAACGAGCTCCTCCAGTTTTCGTCCTCTTAAGAAGCTTGAATTTTGTGCATCAAAACCTATACAACACCGAATCAACTTTTATTTTTAAGCAGCTGATTTGTTGGAACTTGAAAGAAGTGAAAGAGCAGAATTCACAGTCTCGAAATTCAATAGCAAATTCACTTACGAACTTCGTTATTGTTGACGTTCTCCGCAACAGTAGCGTATCCAAGACAACTGCGTGTGAAGAGTTTTGTTGAAATCCTCATAATTTATTATCAATTATATGAATTTGGACAGCAGGGGTCGTCATTTGTTTGACTCTCTGCATCACGATGTGCAAGAGGATTATTGATTGGACGATATATTCGAGGTGTGAAGTGTTGTGCAATTGCACGACATCGTGTCAGAGGTATGCCGAAGAAGCGACTCAGTCGTCGTCTTTTAGTCGCCTCTTCGAGAGCGTCGTGACGATCAAAAATCGCGACGACGCTGCCAAAGACTTTGTCGCCTGAGATGTGCTAAGGGGCTTTAAGCGTTAAACAGTAAAGAGATCCATGTAGACTGAGTATTACATCTGTAGTTTGTGATCGAATAAACTCAAAGTCTTTTGATTTTGTCACAAAGACTGCTGCGCTTCCCTGTAAGACAGAAACAAGACCTCGAGATCACCTATGTTGCATGCGCTACATATCGTTACTACAAACACTGATTTTCTTGAAAAGATAAGGCGCGACGTCGCATGCGCGGTTCGCCTGCCGCATATCTTGCGAATGTCGTTCGATTTGTTATTTTATATCATAAACGAATACCGGCGCCGCAACTATCTGAAGATACCTAAACCTTCATCTTGATATTCTCCTCCCCCCTCCCCTCCCCCCAAAACCGCGTGACGCCATGTGCAGCTTCGGTACGAAACGTGTGGAGGTAATCGAAGCATATATCTATCTTGACTTGAGTTGCAGCGATGATAAAGCAGGCTTCTATGTAACGACAATCAATAAATGGCTTCCTTGTGGGCCGACATTACCTTGGACATGAACAGTAGCTAGCGTTGTAGCTAAGCGTTGTCCGATGGTTAGGCTTTTGGTTTCCCTATCTATCTGTCTAACTTTTGATCTCCGTATGTACGTATGTTCCAAATAAGAATTTCCATTTCTGGGTCGATCTGGACCAGACCTTGTGCAATACTTGAGAAACGGTGGATGTCGTAGGCTTTTCCTACTTATTCTTCTGTCGAATGTCACCGATAGTTGATTTTAGCAAGCTTTTAGCAGGAGCACAGGGAGTTGGTAGAGTGGATAAGTAAGCGTGCTGCTTACGAAGGTAGCATCCGCTTGGACTGGCACTCAATGCGTTTCTCAAGTTTATCAATTTTTTTCAACTTGACTGGTGTAGACAGTTGATAGAGGGGAAGGGGGGGGGGCATTTTGATACCATTTTGATACCGTTTTTACGTTTTTTGGAGAAATCCAAAGACCGATGTGCAGATGTGGGGTGAGTGGTAAGTTTCATTCCCATAATTATAAAAGGGCTGGACGAGGCCGGGTATATGCCAGTTATCATTAATAGATCACAGTCTTCCAGATAGCTCCCAATTACAACATTGCGTCTTGCCAAATCGAAAAAATCATGACAACTGTGCGTGACGCAGTATTCTGTTACCTTACAAATCCAACTGACTACGAGGCTTTTAATCGATCTTTGAGTGCGGAACAATGGACAGGAAGGTAGATTCTGAGAAATGATGGTTATACGAAAAAATTACATGCTTTCTTTTTAGTCCTTGCGGATGGTCTAATTATCGCTCAAACATTGATGATGTCGAAAGGGAGACGAATACTAAATTTCGTCGTTTTGCTATTATTCGTAATCCGTTTCAACGCTTTCTAAGTGCGTACGTAGACAAGTGCCTCAAGTGTGTTTTTGGTGATACAAGTACCATTACTCGATTGCTGCTTAAGTTCTGTCCGATTTGCGATTTTCAAGTTTGATATGTACTCACTCCAAAGACAACTTTTCTCAATAGACTCACAATTGAAGCTACCTAATTTAGCTCGGCCTTTTAGCAAAACACCTATATATTCTGAATCAGCTTCAAACGCTGATTTCAAGCATGCTATTTATAGCTGCCGAGCACCATCCCGAAGCAAGTTATGGCTTTTCCAGGGGCAAAATTGGCATACTGATCGACTCACCGGCATCACGGCGTTGTCATCTAAGTGCTGATACACTTGCGTTAAACTTCTCTCTGGTGAGAAAAAATTTTTGTATTATTTCGATATCTCAGCACCCTTTTCTGAAGATTTTCACCTACAGGCAATCTTTCCGTGTTCAGTAGTATGCTAATTTTGCGTAGGAAAAAGCCTATAACTCGCTTCGGAATGGTGCGTGGCAGCAGGAGTAGCATACTTAGAATCAGGGTTCAAAGCTGATTCAGAATATACAGAGTGTCCCAAAAAGATGTGCACACTGTTTGATCGTTAATAACTCTCTTGCTTTCATGTCTTTTGCTGAGCTTGAGGTACCATTCTGTAGGGCGAGGATAAACTTAGATTTACAGTATGGAGCGAATCACCAATCACTCTTCATTACTGGAGGATTACGGTATGAACTTTTAGCATACAGCGTCACTGTGGTTTTTAATTTTGAAAAAATCCAAAAACTTGTGTAGCAAGGTTTTCAGGCGTGCTGATTTCACTATATAACTTTCTACCAGTTTTTCGAGCTTTCTTGATGGCGTATTCACTTTTCTGACGAACATTGGAAAATTAGTTGTTGCCCTAAATCTGAAATAACTCATGAAAGAAATAGTACACTGAAGTGCAACTTTCATATTTAGAATCAGCGACTTCGATTAACCCAGTTCAAGAGTTTCTGGCTTGTTTGGCTTTATTTCTGAGGCAAAATACCAATTCCAACGGCCTAAAATCCTCCTCGAAATTCCTACCGTAATCCTACAGTAATGAAGGGCTGCTGATAAATCGCTCCATACTGTAAATATAAGTTGAATCTCGCTCTAAAAAATGGTACCTCATATTCGGTAAAAGACATGAATACAAGAGAGTTATTAACAATCAAACAATGTACACATCTTTTTGGGACACCCTGTATATGTCCCTTGTCAAAAGGCCGAGCTAAGTTAGGTAGCTTTCTTTATCAGTCTCAGGGCATCGGGCAAGTATTGGTCAGATGGTTATCATGCCGTACGATAAACATTTTACGGATATTTTTGACATTGTGGTGCCCTTTATAAGCACCAGCAGGAAAATTCAGTGACTTTGAATAGATAGCCAAATTTTTGAGCATTATTACGTAACCAGAAATACTCCATAGAGTCTTTGTGGTCTAGAGATACTTTTGAGCAATTAACAAAAATCGGTTTTTGATTTACAGTAGACTACTTTCAGAATTACATGCCCATTTGAAAAAAAATTTAAAGTTTCAATGCCGCCAATGTAAAGGACGGGCCCAGTTAGCTCTTGCTTCACTCTACCCCCTGCGATGACTTCAGAAAATCGAAGTGTTTTTATCTATAGGACGTATGGAACAATCATGTAGACCATTTGTTTTCAACAGATTCTGCAAGCAGGGAGGTTCTTACATGAAAGTTAATCTGTGCGTATGCTAGCCCATTGCACCTTTCATCCGTAACAAAAAAAGCTTGAGCTGAAGGACGATTTTTGAGAGTTTTTCACAAAAACATTTTGCTTAGGTGGGACCATATTTCGGACTTATAGAAGATTAGGGAACTTTTAGACCGCGTTGGTTGCCGCTATTGCAGCAGAATCGCAGTGGGTCAAGCCACAGTCTCCCTGCCGCGTGCGTGCGATGAGTTTCTCATTGATCGATCTACTTTCCTGTTTCTTATAAGTGTTTTTCAATTCTACTGTTACAGGCTGCTTTCAAGGCACAACTTTTGGGATAAGAGGGCTCGAAGACGCCGTTGAGGACAGATCGCTAAAAATCGCATACATCCAGATCTGAAACTCAAATTAGATGTTCACTGCGTTCTTTCCATTCATGAGCTCAAGTTTGTGTTCTTCGTGAACGATGCGCTTTGAAAAGCTGCATGCGATGTTAAAGAGCATTTGTGCAAAATGGTGCATGGAATGAAGCATGAAAAGACCGCATTATCCACAACAATTATGCAGCTTGAGCGTACACACGTCAGATACCTGCTTGAGTGTTCCTCGCTACTTCTTTTTTAGTTTTTTTTATAAGTTTCATATTTGTAGCGAGTGGTGCGGTTTTCCCATGCTTACGTCCATGTATGGTCACGGGTTAGCACATATGCTCTTCAAATCGCATTCAATTTCTCAAACCGCCTCACAAAAGCATAATTTCTGAGCTTGCTAAGATGTGAAAAAACTCAACAAAAGTCCATTTCGTAAACTCTAGCTGAATGTAGGCAATACTTAGCGCATCTGTCCTCGACGGCGTTTTTCGCCGTTAGTCCATTATCCAAAGACCCACATCTCAAACAAGCCTAAAACAAAGAAATCAAGGAAAGTATATTGAAAAGCAAAGAAAAATTGATTGATTGACAGGTTTTCGCGAAGCACTCGCGTCAGGTGGCTTGACCCACAGCACATCTGCTGCAATAGCGGCAATTGGCGCGAAAGCGGTTAACGGTCGCGAAAACGGCAATCGGAGCGGTTTGAAAGCTCTCTTAGGCTGCAATTTTATTATGTTCATAAAGAGCAAGAAAACTCTTCTAGTAATACAATAGTACCGCTTCAAATGCATGCAGATCTTAGCTAAACAGGGTACTTCACTGAGAAATAAGGCAGAGGCTAAAATGGGCATTTCAGTGAGAGAAATTTCGCGCCACAAGTACGTTGCCTTGGCTGCAGGTATGATATGAAATGCTTTGTCGAAAGACTCTTCCACTTACTTTATGGCTTACAATACAGCCGAACATATATTGCAAGAGAGATCTGGTATGTCGCAAGACATTTTGCGCCACAGTCTTGGTAAGTTGCGTGTTTTTTAGTTGCTAAGTTTGATGAATTCTCTCATTATGATCTTTCGAGGCAGTGCAACTTCAAAAAACAGTTGAGCACGTACGATATCATAGTGTATCCAGAGACTTCAAACCGAGCTGATATAATCTCTAACGAATTCGACAGAGTTTTCAAACAAGCAGGTGTACCGCAAGAGTTGCGTTCAAGAATACGGGAAGAACTTTCTAGTGAGTCGTAGAAGTAAATAAAGAGGATTACCCAATTGATGTAAAGTCTCATCTCAGCCTTATTCGTTATTTAGAAGGGCGAGCCCATCACTCTACATACAGAAGTAATGCACGAAGTAACATAGAAAGCTTGATAACGTCTGATCGCTATATTCGCCGAATTCTCTCACTTATATATTATTACGATTATATCGTTTTCGGGTTTGACTTTGATAAGGCTTTGTTCGATTAATTGATGTGATAATCTTCAAATCAGTATATGAGAAGATATTATGTATACGAACGCTTGAGAAAAAGAGAAAATTGATCTATTAGTCAGAACAGCAACTAATCCTTTTTATTAATTGTATAGTACATAGAGCTAATTGTTAAGCAATAAACCTTAAAACATCACGAAACCTTTGTGCGGTTCTTCTCTGCGATCCACTTCAGTTTCTGTCTTTAAAAATCTAAATGTACGAAATGTGAAATCTTCCGCAGAGCTTAAAGAATATTACAAGTTACCTATGAATTCTACAAAAGGTTTGTGGATAGGCACCATTGAGAATAGACTGGTGATCGGCTCCATGCACAATCAAAGGCGTTACAGGTTTTTTGAGCTTTTCATGCAGCTCAACTCCATGCTCTGATGGAACGACTGTGTCTCGTGCTCCATGGCAGATCAACACAGGTACATCGATTTCTGCCACTTTATCGCAACTATAGGACTCTATGATCACCCTGTTAAAATAGTAGCGAAGTTCAGACTTACGAAACAAATTTGTCGAAAAAGTGAGTCTTCTCCCGTTTTGGTTGGTTACCCAATAGTCGCAATCCGCTTGTGAATGGTGCAACCAGTACTACACCAGCAAGGCCTCCAGGATGTGTTGCAGCCAAATCGACGACTGCGGTTGTCCCGATGCTATAGCCCAGCAACACAATCTACAAGAATAATTTCTTCTGATGTATTATCTGAGTGGATATTTACCTTTTTGCTAGGTCTGGTCTTATGCACATGCTCGTAAACGGCGCGAATATCGGCGTAAATGCTTTGTTCGGAAGTAGCGCCAGTGGAATATCCATAACTGAGATTGAAGCTACATGATAAATGAAAACCTTCGAGACACTAACTAACCCTGAGTAATCAAAACTGTAAACATCCATTTCGAAAATTTCTGCCAATTGCGGAAGATTGACATAGCGCGGTTGCAAAAAACTGCCAAGATCGGATGAATTCGGCTGTGTGAAAATTATTACCTGCAAATATTGAGTTTGCAAGGTTTACTGCATTTTCACCGATAGTGTATTTATTGTAAGCATTCTATGCCAAATTTCACCAAATATCACTTTGTAATTTCTGCTCTGAAAGTCGAGAAAACAAAATTTCTTATCCTTCTAGAGCGATGCCAAGTTATTTCCACGTAAGTGATTGTACAATACCACTCATAATTCGTCAAAAAAGTTGCCGGACTGCGGCGCCGCAGTGCGCCGGAGTCCGACGCAGTCCACTAGAGTGCAGCGGAGTGCGCCGCACTGCAATAAGTCCGCCGAAGTGCGCTGCAGTGCGCCGGTGTGCGGCAGAGTGCGCCACACTCCACTAGAGTCCGTCGGAATCCGCTCGCATCGCCGTATCTCGCTCCCATGAACGAGTTTTGAATCCGAGGACGCCGTTCGATTCAGCTCGGTGAGACGCATCATTTAATGTTAAAGGAGTCCCACAATCTAACAGAATGTGATAGGTATACGCTAGGCAGTAAGTTTTCGCTCAATTTTGGATTTTTTTGTTTGGTTGAATTGTTCACCCTGCTGATGTATTGTCATTGATTTGTCGCTGATGACACATAGAAAGTATACTGTAGGAGCATGGTAAAAAGATCACCCTGATCGAATTTGTTCTAAAATTTGCTCAAGATCGCAATACCGCTCACAGAATGTGCAGAACTTCTGTGAACTTCGCAGAATTCCGGGGTTTCCGCCAGAGTCCGCGATATTCCGGGAACGCGACATTCCAGGATCCGCGAAATCATGGGAATCACGCAGAATACGCGACGCTACTTCTACCGTCATAACTAGTCGCGGTGGAATTTCGACGAAGTATGCGATCTTTAAGGTTTGGACAAAATGCATGAAGGCGTGTATTCGTAGGCTTGTAACTCGGCGATTTTTATACACTGGAGCCTGAGTCATGCACCATTCGATAGTACAGTTCCTAGTAACTTTGACTTAGAAAAGCAAGCAGGCAAGCTTTCCGACAGAACGCGAGAAGTGCAGGCGAAGTTACGAGCTTTCGTAGTCCGTTACATACCTCACCATATCTCCCCAAAAAGATTTCAACATTTCGATCAAAATCCACTGGTGAGCTTCAGAGCATGAAACGAGAAAAAAATCAAATAATCCGAAGTTCTCTGAAAAGTTGCTTATAAGGGTTATCCGACTTGCTGATTACGAAACTCATATCTGCTTAACAAGATAGCTTTGTATTCAGAGTTACGACGAGTGGAATTTGGGACAACAAGCTTTTTTTTACAATTTACCAGCCCTTCTATCTCCGCTGGAAAGACGCCTGTGACTACTTTTTGGCGCTCCATAATCTACAAAATAGGTACTATTGAACGGTCCTTGTTGGAGTCTACTAGGGGCAATGCGCGCTGCTTCACAACTTTGGGAAAAGACGTCCACAGAAGGATTTAATACTGAATATATCAAGGGCATATCGAAATATCAAGGGCATGCTGTGTATCGAAAGATTTGTCTTGATGAACTGAGCAAAAGATCCCTTCGGATTCGGAATATGTTCATTCCAAAGGAAGTTACGGCGAGTAGAACTTAGAAACGCGTGATTTTTCCAAAATTCACCAACGCTCCTATTTCTTTGAAAGACAGTCCGCAGCTGCTTTTAAACGCACGATAACTTACAAGAACAGTACTATCGAAGTGCTTGCCGGAATCTATTATGTTACACAGATGCTGCGTTAATTCTTGCGAAATGACCTCCACAGAAAAAGTTCGGGAAAACTGAAAATGGAATATCGAGGGCATACTGTACATCAAAAGATTTGCCTGGACGATCTGAATACAATGCTGCTCCCGAATTTCAAATATATTTGTCCTGAAGGAAGTTATGGCGTTGCGTATTCTGCGTGATTCCCATGATTCCGCGGATCTCGTAATGTCGCGAACTTCCCGGATTATCGCGGAATCTGGCGGAAATCCCGGAATTCCTGCGAAGTTCACGGAAGTTTTACACATTCTGTGAGCGGTATTGTGATCTTGAGCAGATTTTGGAATAAACTTAAACCGATCAGAATGACTCTCTACCCTACGTATACTTTCTATGTGTCATCAGTGACAAATCAATGACAATACCGTTATCAGCACATTGAACAGTTCAACCAAACAAAAACCTGCAAAATTGAGCGAAAAGTTACTCTCTAGCGTATACCTATCATATCCTGTTAGATTGTGGGATTCCTTTAAAACTAAATGATGTGTCTCGCCGTGCTGAATCGAACGGTGTCCTCGGATTCAAAATTCGTCCATTGTGAAGCGAGATACGGCGATGCGACGCGGATTCTGACGGACTCTAGTGATGTGCGGCGCATTCCGCTGCTCCCCTGCGGACTGCAGCGCACTCTGGCGGACTGCAGTGCAGTGCGGCGTAGATAGCAGTTTTCTACAAACTTTTATTCGCGAAAATTATCGAATTTGGCTTCCTTAGAACGTTACCGGCTGAAATCAATCTTTTTTGGAAGCTAGAGTTTACAGAGAGCTAGAATTCATTGCTGCACTTTTAAGGGATTGTGATGCACCATGACAACAGCACGGCATCGCTTCGACAAAAGCATATAAACGTTTTTTCTCTCAATCCCTAGGCGAGGAAAGATGATGCAACGATGTTTGTGAATGTCTTATGTGGAATGCGTATGCGTAAGCGAGTGGAAAACCCAAAGGACGTTTTCAAACTAAAACAAAATTCCTCGAAAATTTCCAAGCATTCAAAATCTCTTGAATTTTGTCTTAAAACTTGATGGGGATTGAAGCTGGTGCAAACTTTTACACCATCTCTAACCTTTTTATCGCTTTGTTCTACCGGCTGGTTTCCTGACATCAAAATCAAGAGGTGTTTAACTTGTCGCGATGAAAAGTCAAAGTATGGCAGAACTTTTGTAGCGTGAATGATGGTGCCAAACTTGCGTAGTAACTTCATAATTATCCGTTTGGGGATTCTGGCATTAAATGGCTACACAGTGCTGCTTTCCGTAGAAATAAAAGTCAAGCTTCACTTCTGGATAACACCTGTTAAATTTCCAACAAAATGAAAAAACACTACCTAATTTTCCACAAAAAACCATTTTTAGTTTTTCTCTGATGTTGTAAAATGCAAATGCGGGATAAGTTGGTCAGTGTTCGAATAAAGCTTTGACTAAGCGAACAAGGATAAAAATTTGGCCCGTTCACATTTGTATGAATTGAAATTACGGAAATTTCACATTTGCTGGACTCAACATTTCTAAATTGTTGTTTCAGTTGTTTCACCTTTACATGCATTGCGAATAAAATGTGCACATTCGTATGTACATTTTTATCTCTTTCTTCACTTTCTTTCTCTCCCTCTCTTTCTTTGTAGTGCATTTTTTCTAACATCATTGACGGTAATATTAGGTTGGTGCAAAAATAATGAGCGTTTTCCTAGGACTTCTTTCAGGATAACTTCACAAACGTCTTTCTTTCTAACGGTTTAAGGTTTGGAAAGCTCTTTTCATGCTCTATCTGATGGTGTTCGAAAATAGCTTCTAGCCCACTCTGTTAGGAATTTATAGAGCTTCACATAATTGCACTCAAAATAAGATTTTCGTTGCATTAATTTTTCTGGCCAGAATTTGAGCGCGAATGAAGGTGGTTTATCGAAAATTTAGCCGCTATATGTAATGAAAATTGTCTACATTATGCATGTTCAATCATATTTTTTCAAGTTATCTAAAGTGAGATATCGGCGGCTTAACATGAGTAATGGTTGCGGTCATTTTAGAGCCCCTTTCTTTCGTAAAATGCAGTCGCTCAAACTTCGCTCATCTCTGTAAGCGTGAGGGTAGGAGTCCCATTAGCGGTTTTTGCAAAACATCCAGCTTTTCAGTACGCAGAAAATTAAAAAATTCTCTACTTCGGTGTTTTGAAGCTTACTGAAAAAATGCTAAAAAAGTTGATATTTTTGAATTTCGATTTTTCCCTCTTCGCTAATCTTTTTTCTCCAAGCCATTTCCATGTGTATTTGTACTACTGGCTTGCGGCTACAAGATAGGCGGCTTATAAATCATAAGAACAAATTGTGAAAGGAGTTATGTTCTGTCAAAAACAAGGCTTCAAAAAAAACTTTTTGTTTTTCAATCCATATTTTTCTGCCCATATGAGATATGAGTATAGTTCAATGTGCGCTGCACTGCGAATGGTTCGCTGCATCTGATGGTCTTTATCATATTTTAAAATGTAGATTTTTTAGAAAGTTATAGCAAGTTGAAGTGAAAAATGGGAAAACGCTCATTATTTTTGCACCCTAATATAAAGCACCGTTAAGTTTTACCGATATTTTTAAGCCCTTTCATTGGTGTACGTGATGCATCATCTATCAATATATTGGGGATACCTGTTGTTTCATACAAGGACTGAAAGAAGGACGACTTGGCCAACATTTCACTGCTATCAAATGATGGCCATTGCTTGTACGAACGACGAAGGGCTAAATTAGTTTTGACATCTAAACCGCGTATATCGCAATTTGGGTTTATCTTACCTTGACTCGGTTCAGTAGCCGTTCATAATCATAGGCTGTTGTCATCTCTATCGCTATGGGCGTTATGACGAATTCTTTATCGACTAGCTGGAAGCCTAATGAGTTTGCGAGTAGGTACGAAGTAGATGTAATACAAGCAAGTAAACGCTAAAGATGCGTAGAAAACTCATTGAGTTGCTTTAATACTTGATAAAAAAGGTTTATTTTTCAACGGTTTTTTATCTGTGTGGCGCAAAATTGTTATAATTTTTGAAAGATACTCAGCTATAGCTTTTTGAAAGATCGCTTGCTAACGGAAAGAAGATCAGAAATGCCACCGGTTGCACTGGCAATACCTAACATTGAGCGATGGAAAACCATAGCGAAACATATCATTTACGAGCAAGCTTTTGACTAGTCTACAGTTCGATTGATTTAAAGAAGAATCCATATTGTTAAATTGACAAGAAGTTTCTTGAACAATTTTGAATCAAAGTTGTTCCCAAGTTTTAGGGCGTGTACAAGAGTAAAAATGTGCGTTTGTCCTTATCAAATGTGCAGTATAAATATGAGCATGTTGGAAGAACGTAGAAACAACTTTTGTAGACTCTCGGGTACCATACTGTAGTAATTCTAGCTTACATGTACGATAGAAATGAATGATCGACTTCACCCCGGTTTTTTCGGAAGCTTTCATGGGTAGTTTTTGTCTCTAACTACTAAAATACCATTAAATACTCCTGCCGTAAACTACAGTAGTGAAAAGCAGTCGGAATACGGATTTTGTACTGTAAATGGTTGATGGTTGAGTTGAAGCTAGCTCTACAATAGGTGCCTTTAGAGACACAAAAGCTGGAGAGTTCTTAGCTATCACATTCGCCACATTTTTTTGGGCACCTTGCATGGAGAAGGAGGATCTGAAGTTTGGAGGAATGTGGGATTTTCAAAGATCCTAGCCTTGTTTGTGTCTTTTATTCTACACACATCACTGATTATGTACATGCTTGTGATATCTTGTAGAAGTTACTTGAATCTTTCCAAAGGTGAAAGATACAAAAGTCAAGGGCCTTAAACATGTTTACAAAATTTTGTTCCCACTACCATGCCAACTGATCATTTTTCTTTGTGGCTCCTTCAGCACTTTTTTCTGCATTCTTATGACTGTTCTTATGAGCTTGCATTGATAAATCAAGTTGCTCTTTTCAATGTCTCAAATTCTAATACTATGTGAGAACAATTTCGTAGTCTTACTACTTAATTAGACGCCAAAGTTTCCTCCTATTATATCTGCATGCACTCATAGAGAAACGAATTTGCAACAGTGTAAGTAATCCCACAAAATGTATCAATTATAAGCAAGCTTACCTCATCTGCTCCATGAATTTCCTTTTCTGGATCATCGACCCGATTCACACTGTATGAAGCACCTTTTTTGGGTGGATGGAACGCAAGCTTACGCGCTATACATCCGGGAAATGGCGGACATCCAACATAACAGCATAATCCACAAAACTGAATAGAAGATATTTGGCTGTTGGCTTCCTACATGAGAGCTTGATGATTATTTATAATGATAAGTAAGGACACTCAATAAATGATAAATGGACATTTCTGTAGCTACAATTCGAAAAAAAAACTCAAAAGCACTGCCTAGCTTTATAACTTTCTTCATTTGTCACAATTTGCGTTGACAAACCCACCGCACACCGCAAAAATTTTTGTCGCCACCCTCCCCCCCCCGAGCCGAAATCCTGGGTACCTGCCAGTGCCCCACATCTGTTTCTAAAATTGGAGCAAGTTGGAACAACTGCAGCATTTGGCAAAAAGATACTTTTGGCTGGTTGCGGTCACTGGTGTCTGCATAACAAGAACCCATAGTGCTGCTTTTTCTAACGTAATTTCTTTATGGTTTTGGCTCCTGCCCACTGCTCTCGCGCCTCCAGCTCTATATGGAAAGTATCTGATGATGCACGAAAATCAGGTGAATTGAAAGTTTGGAATTATCAAAGACCTCGTAAGCTTGATCATATTTAAGGTATCGGCTCTCAAGTCTGGGGCAGATTTGAGCCAGCTTTATATGTCGTTAGCAGCTGTTGTTATGCCCATACAATTCAGTTTATCTACATCCCCAAGGATTCATAAAATTTCTCCACCCTCGCTCCTCTAAGGTGGAGAAATTTTATGGATCCTTGGAGATGTGGATAAACTGAATTCAATCGCTTGTCTGTTCGTTGAGCTTCCATTTGTTCACAATTCGGACGCTTTTGAGAAGAAAACGCTCCAGTCGTAATCGCGCTATATCGCGAAATCAAGTGGAGTTCCGTCTCTCGATTACGGTCAAGAGAACATTTACCGAACGAGGATTGATACATATCGCCCCTGATGAGCGATGCCACAGTGCTCACTGTTTTTCTTTTCTTTGACCAGCCAAAGCCCACAGTTCCGTTTTTGAAACTCGAGTACGCATGAAAGTGCTTGCATGAGAGGATTGCGCTCCTAGTTACAGAAAGGGGCGCGAATGAACGCTGATGACCTCTCACAACGGAGAGGTGCGCTTTAATCGCCGCAGAGACTTTCAGCATAGTTCCCTTCTTGAGAAGCAATAGTGCGAGCGGTGTTCAATCTTTCTTCCTCGCCCAGGGCCGAAATTCCTGTGCTTGGAAATTTCTACTGAATAGGAAAGGGAATTCGAGTTTATATTTTCTCTACGGCCCGCATGCCATAACACCCCTGCTAAGGGGAGGGGGAGGGGGAGCACAGCTCAAAGAAAACTTACGTGATAAAACTCTAGTTTTCCTAATATCACGCGACCTGTCCACCTGCAAGTTTATTTTCACTATAACTATGACACTATGTTGAACAAGAACATGCTCGTTTTTGCCATTTCCATTCTCTTAGGTATGATCGGCTAAATTCGTGTGGAGGAGTGCTGTGGATTTTCCCTGACAAGGACAAACTAAACGAGATAACGAAAAACAATGCTGTATGGAAGTTTAACAGATTCTTGTATTCAGGGAAATTCCGCAAGCGTCCTCACACAAATCTGGGAGCCTATGATAGATTTTCATTGTCAGCAAAAATGAATAACCTAGATGAATGAGATTTTTTTTTTGAAAATTTGCTGCGCAACTGCTTTGGCAAAGGCCTCACAATTTTTTTTGCCACGGTGCCCGCAACCTTCTTCAGAATTGCATGTGAGAGCTCGCATCATGGTGCTAATCTTGAATGCTCAAAACTAATGTAACCAAAGCGCCCATAGTTTCCTATCTTCTCAGAATTTTCCAGAAGCCATTCCCCTACACCTTCTTTTCTAGTCAGGCGCTTAGATTTCAAAATCTTCCACCCAAAACGCATTGGCGAGCGCACACGCATTGTCATTTTCTAGGGCATAGGTCTTTCTCCTTCCTTTAAGATCTCTTCAGCTTTAGCAAGTTGAAGAAAAAAGTATTCTCAAACTACAATCGTCTGATAACATAGCCAAGGCCCCAGCTAGAACGGTTAGCAACACACCCTATTCGCCAAGATTTGTATGAACTGGGTGCCCAAAGCCTTTTCTCCCTCTCCTAGGCGAAAGCGAGCCCTGAGGCGGTCTGCTGAGAAGCTAGCCAGCATGTGCCGCGAATATTGGACAGTGTGGGCTCTCCTCTTTACACAGATATGCATAGCGTCTTATTTCAGTAGTCATCTGATGGACGATCACTCGCAGTTTGAACTGGCGTAGGCCGATTGCAATAAAGCGTGGCACTTCAATCCTTAAATCAAATTCTTGAAGATTATCGTGCTCTACCGCAGCTGGCCGGCTTAAGTTGAAATTGTTAACCAAGTATATAGAGTGGAGGACTACAATCAATGAAAGATTTCTACGCTTTGAAAGAAACGAGCCAAAGAGGCGGCGCAAAGGAACCGATGGCGAAGTGTGAAGAAGTAAACGTAAATGAAGGGTAGACAAAGGGCGTGATGCTCTTGAAGAACGTTAGAATGACCAGCTTCTAAACGGACAGCGAGCGCATTGATGTGAGTCAGGGATTCGTTCCAGCACGTCCGAAGGAGATAGAAACGAAATAGCAAACGTACATATCTCATCATATCCATATCCTTATAATTCGATGAACCGAGGTTACGTTGTAAAGCATCATTGATCTGACTAATTATCAACTTGATTTAACATTTCGACATACTTCACACCAGAGAGAGTTAATTTTCGTTAAGGTCCACATGCACTGCCAGTGGCGTACCCAGGATTTCGGCTCGGGGGGGGCGCGACAAAAATTTTTTTCTAAAGAAGGTGCGTGGCGTTAGCCACGCACTCCGAAAAAATTTTTGGGATGCTTCTAAAAACTTTTGCGGGTCCCCGACCCCTAAAATCTGGAAAAAGGGGGCGTGGCGTTAGCCACGCCCCCGAAAAAATTTTTTTTACAAGGCTAATTTGATTTTTTAAAAATTTTTAAAAATTATTTCAATTATTTACAAAAATAAACAAGTCACTTACACATTTTTATAACCCATATAAGTAACTTTCAAAAATTTCGCGACCCATTCTCGGGGGGGGCGCGCGCCCCCCCCCCGCCCCCCCCCCCCTCGGTACGCCACTGTGCACTGGTGATTTTATGCTTGCAAACTTAGGGTTTTCTGACGAAAAATATGTTCACTACAGTCAGCACAATTACTTGCTTCCAACGTTATGTTTTGACCAAGTTTTGTCAAAATAATCAAAATAACGGAAATTTTTCGAAATTAACAAGCTCTTTTCTGATGGCAGGCAAAATGTATATCTTTCTCCAATAACTCTAATTGTGAAGAGCGGTATTTGACGCGCATATGTGTGCATTCTCACGATAGCAAAAACCATACAAATCTGCAAAACCATCTCAACGCTACTCCTTCGACCTACAAATCTATCATTTTCAAAATTGAACGTCTTTGTGCAAGGAAGCTGTAGTATCTGTAGCTTCCCACAACGGCGATGTTATATAATTTCGATGCAAGGAAGAGAAACATACATTCAAGTAAATTAACACGTTTCGGACCGCGAAATCGCGCGCGGCGAAAAAGAGTGTACTTTCAGCCGTTAGCCTACAAAGGGACCTTATTTCGCAGTTTGTGGGCCATATTTGTAATCAGCATGTTAGATAAGTTCCATATCCAAAGTTCCCTTTGATATCGAAGCAAAGGGAAGTTGCGACGTCGCACGCGTCGTTCGCGTCGCCGCACTTCGTCGCAACTGCTGTTCGATTTGTGCTCGTATCTCCTAAACAAATACCGGCGGCACAACTCTACAGAGTCATTCAAAAAGTAGGAGCTTAAACCTTCGACTTAACAACTTTAGAGTAAAAGGAAACCTCCTGCAAACGCCAGAAAGATCCCTCAAAGCAGCGTGCTGCACAATGTGCAGCACCGGTCCGAAACGTGTTAAGTAGCAAACAAGAAACATCAAGATCCAATGGAGAAACTGAAAAGAAACCAAAAATGAGGAGACTTCCCTCGGTGTTCAGAAATGCACTCATACTTTCGTCGTCTTAACACGTTGACGACGAGCCGTTTTTTTGCGGTCTGTCCCTGTGGACGAGACGTTTCCATGCATCCCTAGCGTGGCCCATGTATGTATGCATGCATCCATGCACGAAGTACAAAATGTGCAAGCCCCGCCCCCTCTGGAAAGCTCCGCCCACTAGACCAAAAATGTCGGAAATTGCCCAAATTTCAAGAATTTATGCGATTTCCGCCACTTTTGAAAAGTGGGTGGAGCTTGCCACTCAGGGGGCGGAGCTTGCCTGACGGTGGGCGGGCCTGGCTAGAAGTTGCTTGAAGTCTTTGCGTTCATCTACAGCCTCATCCATGCTTTTTGTGGACAAAAACGATCCTTGTGAGAGGCATAAAAGTGGGCGGAGTTTGCCAAAAGGGGCGGGGCTAATATATGAAGTACATCTGAGCCTATGTTGATTATATGAACAAAAACTGAGAGGATTGGACAGATAGTATTGATTTATTTTATTTTTTTATTTATATCTGAAAGAAAGCTTAGACTTTTGCCTGTAAAGTTGAGGAGATGTTTGATCGGGTAGTCGGTAAATTGTTTTCGCCCATTTCAGGCTCTGAAGAAGGCGAATTATTGCCGAAACGTTAGCCTAAATAAATCAATTACCAATCTCGGTTGTGGCTAAACAGTCGAAGAGTAACAGTATTCATCATGCCGAGATTTATAGAAAGTCGAACTTTCCGACTAGATAGTATTGAATTTAAGGCCGCCGCGCACCATTGCGCGGCGTCGTCCACAGGGACAGGCTTCCTGCCGCGCACCATTGCGCGGCAATGTCGTCAATGTTCAAAGCAGTGCTAGATGTTCCGACTATCGCTTCGGGACTGCACCGCGGTTTCCCATTATTGGAAGACTCTTGAATTGAGCTAACAATTATTTATATATTAGATTGAATAACTGGAGTAATTAGATAATTATCGAATTTTATTACTATGACTTGTGCATATTTATCATACCTTTAGTCGTTGACAACCAT